CCCACACTGCCCCGAAAGACGGAGCTAGTTGCAGAGTAGCGGTTCGCGACTTGTTTCTGAATTCGAGTGAGTCACCGAAGATACAAGCAGCCAGGATCTGAAACCCCAGTGCCTTGGGCGACTCGTCTTTGGTTGCCACATTTCTCAGCCAGGTCGGTACCCAAGGACCCAAGGCTCTTGTGCAATCGTACTTGTCACAGTGGAGCGAGAGCCGCGCCAGTCTCTCGGCTTCCATCGCGTAGTCTGCGGAGCTTCCCTGGTAGTGGAGGATCCGGAGCATCAATCCCATAAGCTCGGGATCATCGTCTCCAAGCTCCAACACCGGACAGTCTTCGACAAGCAGTCGCTGCCCTTCGTGAAAAGCCGCGTTGAACATGCACGAGAAGACAGGAGAGGCGAGGCGAAGGATATGAGTCGAGACAAGGAACTTAGCGCTGGCTCCTGTGCACTGGCTCAGACATCTCAGTACGACATCTCCGTTGGGGTCCAGTGGGGTAGCCAGATCCATGTTGTTCACGGTGGAGGATGGCGCCACCTCGCGCTGAAATGGTCAAAGCGATGGAATAGGAAGCTTTAGCATGGGTGCGTACACTTTGCATGACTTTGTCGAGAACCCGTATGGTGATATCAGCGTTTCCGTGCACGGGAGGCTGGACGAGCAGTCGTACCTTTGTCACTATGTGGGCGACGTACGAGGAGAGCGATACGCAAAGATATGTGCAATTGGCTTTGTTGAGACTTGCGAAGCTTAGAACTCGTTCCGAAAGGGTCAGACTGCCCTCCTCTTTGAGTTATGGAAGTATCATGAAGTCGCCCCGTCTGCTCTTGTCTGACGCACGATTGCTGACACCTAAAGATATGATGCAGTCATCACTATCGACAGGCACAGTATTGTTTGCTTTGACTATCGATAGCAATCACAAAGTCTTGTCAATCTCCCTCGTTTGAGTGAGCTCTGTTACGCTTAGCGTCAGTAGCGTCATCAGCGTCAGTGTTACCGTCGGCAAACACCGTTACCTAGAAAACCTGACCTCCTGGCAGATTGCACATCCCGTTGCTCACTGCGACCACTCTCTCACATCGTTTTTCTTTCGCTGGCCTTGCCACACCCCCCTGCCGACGTAGAATCTACCAAGCCACCGAAATAGACATAGTCAGGCCAGCCATGATGCTGCAGTTTTCTCTCGTGTTGTGGCTGCCCTACTTTGTTACCGAGATTGTAGCTACGCTCCATGGACAGCGAGAGGCGAGATCTCCAGAGTCGCACGACCAAGAATGGCTCGACGCCTCGACGACCAAGCGCGTACAGGCTCGCTCTGTGAAGAGTAAGAACTCAATGCAGATTCTCTACGAGGAGAATGTCACTAGTTATGCCCATCACTGGGGTGTGTACTTCGGACCGCGCGGTATTCCCGTCGATCCATGCAACCCCGAGCCCTTCTCCAAAGTATTCCATCTCACAGGCGAGGCCCTCCCAGAGAATCGGTTCAGCGATATCGACACTCCCCCTCTTACGCCAAGTGGAATATGGTCAGGGTTCACTTCGCCTCTTGAAGAAGCAGATTGCTCAATCGTGGGTAGTGGATCGGGCCTTCCAACACTCATGTGTGGGCGAAGTCTCACAGTAGCCTTCTCGAAAGATCCAGGTTACGAAGATGCCACGATAAAATGTAATGGGAGAAATATCTATCATCACCGGGCTTACTTCGTCGAGTTCACCCTGTAAGACCTTTCTGACGGAGACTCATGGTGTCTTCCATGGACACCCGTGGCTGTTTTTTCTTCTTCAGTCGGCGGTGACTCGTGTCATCGCCTTACTGGCGTCTCTCATCGAAGCTCTGATTGTAGCTGTTGGCGACTGGTCACTCTGTTCATAAATAGTTTCAGTAGTACGTGATGCCCATCTCGGCAGTTGGAGGGAGGTTTCGCCGCAGAGTGTTAGATATGAGTTCCTGTTTCTATTGTTTTGAGATCATCTGCTGTACGACTAGCATGAAAATTCGACTTGCAGGCTGGAAGATCGTTTTGTTTGAGTTGTGATTGCGATGCTTACCGTCTCGTAGCATGACATTGTAATTAGTAATGTCTGTCTCTGTACAACGAAAACCCCGATAGACAGAGGATAGCCAATGAGCATGCGAGATCATCGGATTCCACTGTGTTTCGTCTGCTGTTCCCGGTCCACTGAGTTTCCCGCTGTACAGAGACCGACGTCAGTGAATGTATGTAGCAGAGGTTGGCAATTTCAGCCCTGTTTTGAGATTGTGGACAACTCCAACGTAACCGATTCAGTCTACTGATACATAGGCTTTTCTCCAATGGTAAGATAGTATCGAAAGCACACACAGCACGAAACCGGACTTCGAAGACGACTCGCTGACTGGTACTCCCTCCAATAAAGATAGCCGTAGTAGAACATTTGTGAGCCAAAAGACGCGCGGCAGACTTGCAAAGTCTCAAAGTGTGCTGCCGGCAGCACTACCATGCAACGAGAAATCCCATCGTAGGTCGTGATGGCATGGTACTCTAAACAACGATGAGCCATATCTCAGACGAGATCTGGTCGGCGCAGCAGGCAGCCTCCCCTCCTTATTGCGTTGTGACAGTCGGCTGCCCCACCATTTGTGCGCAAAATTGCCTGAGTATTGTCTGCTTTCTACTGACGCGATCGAATGTAGCTGCATCGTTCTCGGTCGTGGCAGTCTTTTGACGGTTGATCCACAGGATGCTTATCTGGAAATGGTCTCCCAGTGGCCTGTCTCCAGCATCAAATATAGCCCGTGGCACGGGCCGACACAGGCTACGGCCGCGACGGCATTGGTCAAGACGTCCTGTGCCTTGTATGACTATACTGCTTTATTCGGATCCCTGAACTGATTGGTTGGACTGCGCACCGCATCTGCTGGCGGGAACATGGGTAATTGGGGATTGGAGGCTTGAGATAGAGAAGGTAAAGTTTCGTTGGGGTGTAAAACCTCGTCGAGATGGGCTACCGTCTTCTCGGGGAAGATGGTAAGCAAGGCCAAGGAATCGTCTCCAGTCTCGGTACCAGAGCGGTAGTTCGAGGGATACGAAGATGCAGAGCGCAAGCTTCTACAACGCCCCTGCGAATAGATCGTCGGTTGCGTCCAACAAGGCCTCGAGTCTAGCTGCGTTCTCGAAAAGCACTTCGTCGTGAGGCCTCGCTCCATGAGTGTCGTGGCGGTGCATAGTGATGCAGGGGCGAGGGCAAAGTGTGAGAAGCCGTCATGTGTCTGCGGCCGTCATCTCTTGTCACCTGCAGCATGTATATGGCCAGATTCGTGAGCACACACGAGCGCCGCCGTCAGCAGTAATCCCCGCATGGTATCCCAGCGCTGCGGTATTCCATGCGTGGGCGTGTGGAATTCCATGCCCGCGGAATGCCAGGCCGATGGAATGCCAAGCAACTGGTATGCCAGGTGTAAGCTGCTTACAGCCACAACGCTGTCAGCAGCCCGCTGCAGGAGGGAAATCATATAACGAGCATAGCACATGCACGTAAGCTTGTCTGCTGGTGTCGGTCGAAGCCCCCCGACCTTCTGCTAGCATGGCATCAGATCAGGAACTCGCTCGTGCCGCTGTGGCTCGCTGTAGTGAGGCCGATCTTTTCTTTACCTAGAGCAAGTAATACAGCCCACAAAGATCTGATTGCGATGCACATGTAGAAAGCAGGTAATCGTTTTTGTGGACCCTGGTAGCTACCGGGATCATCCCCAAGAGACGGACACCCTCGCACTTCAGCTTTCCAGCACACATCACCGCCAGTACTGTTACAAAGAGGCTAGCAGGATCCATGATCGGAGGATCGCTTGCATCACTTGCACATCCTCTACCTCTTCGCATACGACCGGTTCTTCGCCATCATCACTCTTGCTATATTGTTTGTCTTGCTTACAGCGCTCGATGGGCTTGTAATACTACTCACAGCTCAGTTGAGGACTATGGGAGACGATGGGTAGAAGTCGATCGCAAGATGTATGGCTTTTAGTGCTTGTTGATGGTTGCATTCTTCCCACTACCTCTACCTGATCGCACGCTTTCGTGGAGCCTGAACTCAGACAATCTCACGGGCTTCGCATGTCACTACGTATCGCCTACAGCGGGCACTCCCATCGTAGCCGATCTATATGAAAATCCGCACTTGCGAAATATCATTCACTAGTGATGAGCACTGGAGTCCATCGCGCAATGACGCTGCCGTGTCTCCTACGGTATGTAGTGCGCATGATCTCCTGCCTTGCTCGGCTCTTCGGTAGTCAACTTGCCACAGGGCAGATCATTTGTAGATATGAGATAAGGTGCGTCCCTAAGTGCAGAGACACACTGTGTCCCGAGACAGGTTCACGCTACGGACGCCCGGAAATGCTCCTTCTTGATCCTGTCAAGATGCAAATAGCACCTGATCACTCTCCAGCCACTATTCCCTAAGTCTACTCAGCTCCGATACAGATTGCTGTGGTGTTAGCTAGGCTATCAATCGTTACGTTAACGTCGTCAAGCGGCTCTTCAACGACACCCCCCTGCCCATTGACGATTATACAAAGTAATCAACCACTCGGAGGGCTGTAAAGAGAGCACGAGTAAGGAAGGTCGATTCCTTCAGCTCGTAATCTTATTTCAGCGTAGGACCGAGCATGCCGGGAGCTCCGTTGCGTGAAGCAGGCGAACTGTGAAAACGAGCCCGAGCTAGCACGACGCGCTAGTGTCTCTTAGCATGCATGGGCCTGCATTAGCACGCTTGTTACCTACTGTATTCTACTGTAATAAATTCAGCGCTATGCCCACCCTGTAGCACCTTAAAATAGATGTGGCGCGCGCGGCTGCCCTTCGAGAAGCATTAACTTAAATTAAGAAACACGACTAAAGTCCTGTTCTCCTACGCGCCATGTTCCTTTCTAGGTCAACTCAACACGCTTATTGCATACTGTCCCTAACTGCTACTGTCATCTTAAGACCTTTAGTAAAATACATAAACAAAGCTATTCAGGCCTTGACGCAAGATCATCCTCCAGGTGTTGATGCGCACCTGCATCAAGCAGCATCTTGACTATCTGCTCGTGGCCTCTAGCTGAAGCTGCCTGCAGTGCGTTGCCAAAGACTCCACCCTCCGCGTTGACCTCGGCGCCCGCGTTGAGCAGCATCTTGACTACCTGCTCGTGGCCTCCTTCTGAAGCTGCCTGCAGTGCGTTGCCGAAGTGTCCACCCTCCGCGTTGACCTCGGCGCCCTTGTCGAGCAGCGTCTTGACTACCTGCTCGTGGCCTCCGTATGAAGCTGCCTGCAGTGCGTTGCCGTAGTATCCACCCTCCGCGTTAACCTCAGCGCCCGCGTCGAGTAGCAGTCTTGTAACCGTGCTAAAGCCTAACAATGCGGCGTAGTAAAGCGGCATAGGCACACTATCGAGACTTTTCTTTGAATTTGTCCCCTCCCAGCTACGGTCTGGATCGTGCAACTGGATCCAGGTAAGATATGCAGGCTTTTCTCTGGCCATTAAACTCGCCGCTAGCTGACTGGCTTGTTCTCCCTCGTCCCCTGTCTTTCGAAGGTGGCTGCTCCAGAATTCTGCTGAGTACCTCGCAAATGCAAACACTTGTAATGTCTCTTCTTCTAATGGCTGCTGGAGCTGCATCAGGTACTTCAAAGAACCTCTCGTTATTGCACTCTGACATGCGGCCTCTTGCATGCTGTACTGCTTTGCTGACCCTTGTCTGATTCTGTCCGAAACGAGGTACTCCTGCACCGAGTAGTGTGCTAGAGCGATGATTTGTTGGGTAGAACCTAGCCTTCCGTCCTCTTCGTTCTTCGTAATGGTGACTAGACTAGAGCAGATGTCCAGCGCTTCTAGCGGGTCTACTAGCACTTCATCGCGGTTAAACGCTAGGTCGCGCGCAACATCGATAGCGACAACTTCAGCAACTTCTGTGACAGAAAGCGGCCGGGCAGAGAACGTTAGCCACTGTAGGATGCGCATCGCGTACACGCAGTCCTCTTTACTTATGGCGGTAAGGATGCGGTCGTATGTCTGGTCTAGCGTTTGCGGTAAAGTGGCGAGTGAATTGCGCAGCATCACTAGGTTGCGACACTTTGCCAACGTGTCCAGCTGGCATACAGCCCATCGAAACCTGCACGATTGTTAGCTTTGGCTTTGTAAAGAACTGGTTGAACACGTACATCCCGTGAGCCCCTCGCATTAGTGCATCCTCAACCTCTTGGCTAATCGCAGCGTCCTTAGTCCATTTTGCCAAGCTCTTCTTGTCACGCAGCCTTTGTTGAACGTAACGCTGTATATCTTGATCCACTACGTCCCTTTGAAGACACACAGTGTCCTCTTCCCTAACGTAACCCTCTAAGCACGTCTCGATATCTCGCTCTTTCCGGCTAGTCATCAGCAGATGTAGGTTGTCAAGCTGCCATCTAGCCACCGTCTCGAGCATATCCATCAGCTCTGAGCGCTGTGTACATTCATCAAGTGCGTCGAGAATAACGTAGACCTGGGTGAACTCTTGCATCGCCTGCCGTGTCACTTCTAGAAGCATATGCAATGGCGGCTGTCGTTTTCCGTTCTCGCAAGATGAGAACAACGCGTCAACGCCCTTAGGTATCCCGACCGAACTTTGGAGGAGCTGGCATAGCAGCGAGCGCAGCATGAGCTCTGGATCCTGTTTCTGTGTGTCATTGAAGTCGAAATAGAAGTACGCCATCACCATGCTAGTGTCATCATGGCAGTACTGCAGCAGATGCTCGATAACAGTAGAGCTTAGGATCGTCTTTCCACATCCTGGGATCCCGTACAGCCACAGTCGCGATGCTGCACGCTCTCTCCATCTCGTGAACTGCTCACCCTCTAGCAACCAGACTCCGGTCTCAGCCTGCCGCTGCTTGTGCGCTTTGTGGTAGTTGGTAGACGGGTCAGGCGCCGAAAGCCAGATGCGTATCTTGCCAAGCTTCTCTTCTTGGTCTTGACTGCGGCCCTTATGTTTCAGAACAGCCGCGCTTCTCAGCCGTTCAAGGGCGTTGTCTTTGCCTTCGCCATAGATCAGCGGTAGGTGGACACCAAATATGCCGAACAGACAATAGGCTTCATCTTCTTCCTCTGTTGTCTGTCGATCCGCTGCCCACAAGAAACGTTCAGCAACGTCGAACTCGGACAAGTCGCTTCCCGACAGAGCTTCGATTGGAATGCCTGTGACCTCGTGTATAGTGTGCTTAAACGACTCCTTATCACCCAACCGCGCTCCGTGTCTAGAGAAAAATTCGACGGAGTGAGGAGCAAGGAGTTCCTGGAGGGTCCAGCCTCGCTTAAACCACCTGCTCTGCCTGAACACCGACTCGCCATTACCTTCCATAGTGACGTTCCCGACGTCTGAAAGGAAAGCATAGCATCTTTCTGCATTCCGATACCAGCGAAACATAGAGTTGATCGCTGTTGATAGTTCCGTGTTGTTCGCCTTGTCAATGCAGCAAGTGTCAATCCAGAAGTAGTCTAGACCATCAAGCTTAGCTTGTTGCGCGCAGAAGCGGATCTTCTGATATCCCTCCTTGCGTTGTGCGTGTACGATGTCTTTCAGATCATCAAAGACCACTTCCTGCTCCCCCCAGGTGTGCGAGAGGATCGCATAGGGAGGAATCTCCTCGCTACGTATGATGTCCTTTGTCCATCGAAGCGTCCCGTCGCTTGCGGTGTACAGCAGTCGCATCGGGTCTTGTGTATGTTTGTCCGCGCGAGTGGTGGAAGGGGGCCTCGGGGCCTTGAAGCAGGCTGACGGTATCGACAGCGCACGGCGGCTCGCTCGCGTAGGGCGTAGAGATCGTAGCTGTCGGGTTTGTTTCGAGTGCAAAGTGACGGTCTGCTAAAGTAGAGGTGAGGTAGACTGTCTTGTTGGGTCAGGCTGCATCTCCAGCACCCAGGACAGGAGGCGCAGCCCGCCTGCGCCGTGACGTGAGGCTGGCTGGACAAGGCTGACAGCGCATGATCGCGCGACAGCCATCGTGCTGCAAACCGAGAAGCAGTCGTTGCCTAAAAACGCGATCTAATAGTCTAGAAAGCGCGAGTTATGGATCGTCATTTCCTGTAAGAGGATGTTAGGATGTCTGTGTATCGCGTGCTATTTCGTGCAAGAACACACTATCGTAGGGCTTAGAACGCAACGTAGCGACAACAGCGTTGAGAACAACACAGAACATCTTGAGCGAGGCATTAGACTAATACCAACAAGCAGCTCTAACGCGGATAACGAAATGCTATTAATGTGCATCGTGCTAGAAGCTATGTTCGCGCGATCTTCGCCTACTACCTAATCGCGACCTGAAACTTAAGCAGGGAACAGAGCATCCTCGTGCACAACCGCGCGGTCGTAAGCGCTTCTAGAAAGCTATTAACGAGCGCCACACCTATTTTGAGAGGCATACGCGACTGGCATAGCGCTGTATTCTTTACAATAGAATACAGCAGATGATAAGAACGCTAATGCAGACTCATGCATGCTAAGCGATGTTAGCGTATTCCGCCAGCTCGGGCTCGTTCTATGGGATCTCCTGCTTCGCACGACGGGGCTGCCGGCATGCTCGCTCTCACATCGGAACCATCTCACGAGCCTGGGAAGTTAATCTTCCTACGTCGCGCTGTCTGCGCAACCCACCGAGCGCTTTAGTGGTCCTAAACGTTACTAATAAACAGGGGGGTATCGCTAACGAGTTGATTAACGACGGGAACGAAACGATCGATATCACGGCCGACATAGCAGCGAGTTATGTCGGACGCTAATGTGCTTAAAGAGCAACAGCTATACGGTTACAGTAGATTGATAGCAGTTTTACAAGCCCACAGATGGGAGACGCCGAAGCTCCGAACCGCCAACCTGTCTCGCGACGTAGTGTGTCTCCTCACTCAGGGACGCACCTTAGTCGACTGTATCTGTTGCAGCGCATCTAGGTGTGCTACGAAAGTGCCTATCTAGATCTGCATCGCGGCTCTTCTTTGGTAACTCCACTAGCTAGACTAAAGGTCAAGAAAAAGAACTTCGTTTCTTGAACATGTCTTGTGGGGATGATTTGTGGCTGATCCCACAGATGTATAACATGTGGTCTATCCAATGGAAGAAAACTTGTTGTCTTAGCTCGGTCCCCAACAACCATCTCGATCACACCTAAAAACTACGCCCACAACTCAACACCGCGTGTGGTGCGGTGAGCACAAGAAGAGTAGTGCTGATACTGAACCTCATTTGCCAGAGCAAATGCAGATACTCAAGGACCAAAGAAAGCTCGATACGATCGAGCTTGCAACAGCAACCCATAAAACGGCAAACAGGGACACGCCTAGAGATGCGTCGATGTTGTAGGGACGCAAGACCGACTCGAACACACCCGCCAGCGCAGCGTAGATGGTGGTCGCTGCTGCTGCCGCCACAAGGGCAAGGCCAGCCTGCAACTGGCAGCACATATTAGCAAGCACACGCATCAGAGCGAACAAGACCCACAATAGACACGAACGCCGTGAAGCAGCTGAACCATCTGCTGCGGATCGCGAGTATCCCCCCCGCGATTTCTAACACGGTCAGCACCAACGTGATGACGAACGTCCAGTGTGTCCATTCCACCGCCGCTCGGTATGTCTGCATGCCCTTGGTGAATCGCTCTCCTAGGACTGCCTGCAAAATTGTGTTCTCCAGCTGCCAGACATCCGCAGGGTCAAAGTAGAATGGCACCTTCCAGGCGCTGCAGTGTGTTACCGTCTCTCTCCTCGTTTTTTTGTCAGTTTTACCCTCACAGTAGCCAAAGAGGCCCACCACATAGAAGTCCTTGAGGGGTCCAGACTCCGCTACGCTCTGGAGACTGTCAGGAACCTCGATGCCGAAGACGCTGTCAGGAAGGCTGTTCAGCAAGCCCTGTGGACTCAACATTGTATCACTGGTGTTTGCCTGTCTCTTACTGTCAGCACACACGTTTGCACTGTATATGGATCGTCGGTGTGTGCTCGTAGCTTGAAGAAGTAGAGATCTCGCTGGAGCAGTGTGTTGCGGCCGCCGGGAGAGACTTGCGCCAACGCGATGACGAGGAAGCAAACCAAGGACAGGATCGTGAGCAGCATAGGTAGGGCAATGCATGAGACGCGCTTGATCTTTCCCATCGGAACGAAGGCAATGGGCTGCCGCTCGCGTTCTGAGCGTTTAGGCCCTGGGGTACAATCTCACCGCAGCGGTGTTCTCCAGATATTATTGGTAGATTCTTGCCTGTATGATGGATAGCAAGCAGACAGCTCTTCACGTGTCTGGGCTATACAGTCAGACCTGCAGACTACGACGGACGTTTGAGGTACTCTACTGCAGTCTTGAGATCGACCGGGATGGTCTGCGTACAAAAAAACTTTCTCAGTCAATGTTAGATTAAGAGAGCGTGTAGAGCGAGAGATTCGTTCGGTCTAGGTATGAAAGCGGTTGCTGATGATATCCTGTTTTGTTCCGTTGCTGCTTACGCGTACTGCGAACGTGGTATCACTCTGGTCGTGCAAGTAGTGACACAAGTCATTCCTCTGCCCTACGCAAATAAGCCTCAGCATAATTCATCAGCATCATCGCTGCGTGATTTACCTTTCGCGTCATCTGATCTCTGGATGATTGCGTAAGACGATTGACTGGGAAAGAGCCAAGTACAATATCAACATATGATAGATACACTTCTGTCGGCTTTTGCCGTCTTGCGTCGGTCGGCGTGTCTGCTGACTTGATCTTCCTATAACGTCCGTCCCTGCGTAATGGGACACCCTGCATGCCGGAACCGACCAATCAGCATGCAAATTTCGGGCAGAAGTCTGCAATTCAAGTGAGCTGATTGGCGGGTTTCCGGCACGCAGGGTGTCCCATTACGCAGGGACGGACGTTAGCAACCTTTATCGTAATGAACAAGATGAATCGGCGACAGCAGAGCGACAAGCAGAGAAGAAATAGACGAAAGTTTTGAAGCCATTACAAGATCGACGTCGTCGTCGCCCAGACATCTATGAGCACAAGCTCGTCCGGCTCGAGAGCAGCCACTTCTATGGAGACCTGCCGTTGTCCGCACCGATCGCGCTTTGGATCTGGTCTATGGTACAATGGAATACTCTCATCGGGAAATCGGTGTGATCTGAATGTCTTTAATGCTCCACTTTCCTCTTGGTCTGAGGATTGGTATGGAGAACTTGGTGAATGTCGGAAGCAGATATCGAACCTGGACAGAAAGACATTTGCTCGCTGATGTTCAGAGTGAGAGGTTTCCTGGAGATGTGTAGATTGGAGTGGTCGATGACCTCTATATTGGAACACCATCATTCACGAACGCATCATAGCGTTCGTTCTTTGAGAGATGGCAAAGGCAAGTACCACCAACCCCGCAAAAACCCACAGGAGTCCATCGTACCACATTCTGATTTTTATCCGTGATGCCCAAAGTGCGACGGCGGCCGGAGTATTTGATGGAGTGTCTGAGGCTAGTCCTGGTCGTACGCACACCGAGCAAGGCAGCCCTTTAAACTCAAGCGAGTAAACATAATGTTGAGCAGTATCTACCGTCAGACATGAATTCACAGTGAAAGCTTCCATAGATAGATCATGTGTTCGATAAACGCTTATGCAATTCAAAACACCATGCGAAGATCGTGATGTCAGCAATCTCGCAGCATACATCTGACCCGATATGTAGTAAGCTAGCGTAGTGTACGTCTGCTCACTTCGAGGCAGATATAAGCTTTTGTTTAGCCACATGCTCTCTGACACTGCTCGTGCAGTTGTGAGCGATCGCGGCTTCGCCCCAACGCACAGCTGCGCAACGATCATGCACATTCTCACCTCCTGCAGATGACTTGGCACTTCGTAACGGTCGGTATCATTGACCAATCTTCAATCCGACGGTGACTAGTTTTCTAGAGTGCCGCACACAGAGGTGGAGCCGCAACGGCTGACAACTGTATCAGATCAGAGTGACGATGCGAACGGGTCAGCACGGTAATTCGCGATGATAGTCGTATCATGACAGCACGACGATAAGATCGTCAAGTTTCTAGCCAGCCGCGATCCAAAGCTTGTGTGCGTGGCTACAACCCTGGTTAGGTCTTCGATTTTACGCTCGTACTCGACTCGCCTGATGATTTTTTTTTACCAGCACTCACTCTTGCCAGCACTAGCCAGTGTAAGTCATGAGCCTTCCAAGTCGACCGAAGCCCCGGATTATACCGAGCAACCAGTGCTTGCGTGTGCGTCAATGAAAGTATACTGGAGCTGGCTGTTTTCAGGCCTGGATGCTCTGGGCATTGTTGTCGAACCAATTGACAATCGTTTCTTATGCTCCGCTCTACCAACACGCTCAAAGGCTGAGCTCGCTTCTTGAATGCAGCTTTGTTCATCAGACATTATCTGAACATCCTTCGGTGTGATAGAACCACATCCTCGCGGCATCGCAGTGGGTCAGCGTCTGTCACAGGTCCTACCATGTGCTAGATCGTCCTATAAAGTATGCACTCGAGACATTGGGACCAGAGCGTACACGGCGTCACGTCGTCCCCAAACAGCGTCGCTTGGCTGTCCGCAAAGGCGAGTCGTCTTGTCGCCTCTTCTTACCTGCTACACTTGCTGTGACGTGCACGTCTTTGAGCGCACTCCATTCGAGCATTTGTAGATCAATCAAGGTTTTGAACGTTAGTGGTGAAGCGCTTATAGGATGAACACGGTCCCCGTGCAGTCTCAAGCGAATGTCTAGTTCTTCGTTGAACGAGGAAACGCGCAAACATATGGGTTGGCCAAAGTTCCCATGCCGATCGATCCACGTTGACATGGCTTGTCTTGAATCACACACTTGCATCTGGATCTGGAAGTTAGCGTCTAGATAATCGAGTTTTTGCATCAACGTGGAGAACGCGGGACTGAGCCCGGGGATACGACACCGAATCAAGCCGTAACAGGTGTAGGAGCCGCGCTCGTAGATTGGCATGCGTCCTGGTCGTAGCTCAAAGTAGAAGCTGAGAGCGAGTGCAGCGTCGGCCAAGTCACGCACAGCCGAGTCCGTCGTAAAGTAGGAACGAGCTGCTTCAGCGAGATCGCCCGTGGCAGAGGCGTCAGCTAGATCAGGTAGCTCACCTTCTACGGGTAGGTTGAACCGATGGAGCCATCTATCTACGTTAGCAACCCCTCCGGGCAAGGATGTAGCCAGAATCTGGCGCATGAGGGCGAATTTCTTGTCGCCATCGAAGTTCTCGCTCCAGTAGTGCTTGGCGGTCTGCTGCAGAGAGCTGTTTCCGAAGAGCAGGCTGGGGTAGACGTCGGCTTTAGCTACCTCTCTCGTTGTCGAAATGCCTGTTCCTACGGACACGAATTGATCAGCGAGGCTCAAACCAGGAGCCATCTTCTGGAGCTCCTGCAAGGCGAGCATGCAGGGATTGTTGTCGCTCAGCCCTCCGTCCATGAATGTGCCGTGGCCAGGTATCTTGTGCGGCGTGAAGTACCTGTTAGCGTCAGACTTCAGTCAAGCGGCTGCAGCTTGTAGCACTCACCAGGGGGCTGCGGATGTACATCGTGCGCTGTCGCGCCAGGTTAGCGTCAAGCTTCTGACAGCGGGGTAGCAACTCACGCATCCTTCACGCATATCTCCTCTGTAGCGTCTTCTGAGCGCAAAATCCGATACGTAGACATCTCTGTACATGCACCATTGTCGTATGTGGGAGCAGCTCCGTTATAACTCGTGACTAAACACGTTTCCAGCGTGTCGACATCGACAACAGGCAGACCAACGCGTGCCCCGATTGAAGACATGTACGGGACGTCCAGCATGGTGGCTTCCTCGAAAGCCTCGTTCAGGGCGCTATCGATGTCGCTGGCAGGGAACCGGCCATTTCGACACGAAGTGATGAGGGCATGGGCTGTGGCAGCAAGTCCCAGGCCCAGCTGGCTCCGCCCACGGAATATTCGTGTTGCCAGCTGGGTGAATAGGGTAAAGGTCTCCTCAGCTCGCATGCCGAGACCGTAAAGCGCAAGAACTACCATCGCGCCTGCAGAACAATGAGCCAAACACCAAGCAAGGAATGGGAACTCTTTCTGATAACGTACCTGAGCTCGTTCCGTAGGCAAGGTCAAAGAACTCTTGGATCGGCATATCGAGACCCACTGCGTTTTCTAGCGCGCAAAGGAACTGAATGGGAATCGCCGCACGGATGCCGCCGCCATCGATCGATAGCACGCGTAGCCCGGCAGTGGCAGGCCTCACGCGCATGTTGGCTTCGAAGGACTGGAAGCAAAAGGGACAGCAGTTCAGCTTGTAGAGATGTGGATCGGCGTGGGAACAGCTTCCCAGATACGTGAAACATCTCTCGCAGATCAAATGTCCACAAGGGAGCTTGTGCTCGGGGATTGCGTGCATGCAAGCTAAGCAAACCTGGTGGGGCTTCCTCATCGCAAGCCATGGCTGAAACTCTGCTAGTAGTCTCGCACGAGCATTCGAGCAGAGAGTCTTGCTTCTTTGCACAAAGTGCTGCTCGAGGAGAGAAACCCATTGGGTGCGAAGCAGCAACACCTGATTGCCACAGTGTCTCGGGGACTCGAGTGTCTTGTTCACGGCAACGTCCAGACAAGCAGACTTGTAGTGAGACGAGAATACCACGAGCGGGTCAAGGACTACAGTCAGTCAGCAGATTGGAGCAATCGGTCGGCATGGGATACTGACAAGGCACGTCGTATGCATAGTTGTCTATCGCCAGACAACCTGCAACAAACGGAATGGCAAACTCCTCCATATCTTCTAGACTGTGAATTGAATCGAAGAGAATGCCCAAATACTTCTGCAAGCGCGCAGATACGGGGCGATGCGACCGCGACGCCACAATCATGTCGAATGGGACCTGTCCGCTGCTGACGAAATGATCGCAAGCTTGACGGAACAGGAGATCAAAGTGCACAGCATTCAAAAGGGTGTAGTCGCAGACGCGCTCGTTTCTAGCAACATCTACTTCGCGTTTGATGCGGTCTGTCAGCGTCTGCGTGCTGGTTTGTTGAACGTATACAGAGAGGCGAGAAGACAACTCGGATCTGGTCTGTTTCAGTCGCGTGTGCAAGATATCTATCAGCTGGCTCTGTACGCTCGCCTCGTTCTGCTGTTCAGAAGGTGCCGCTACGTAAAGTAGTCGAGGACGCACTGTGATGTGAGGCCCTTGGCTGGGTCTCTGCTCGAGCCATGGTATCATGCGGTCGACTTGATAGCATACATCGCGGCTTCCTGCGGAGAAGAAACAAATCACGTCTGTGAAGGGGCGGATCAGTGTGGAGTGGAGACTATCGAACACGTCAACCAAACTGCTTACCTGCCACTCTAGTGGACGTACTGTTTGGCGGTGACAGGGAGCGGCCATAGGTGCTGCTGCGGACGTGTTTCGCTTCGAGATATCCTCGTGTGCGATCAGCATGGGACAGTCACTAAAAGCAGTAGTAGAGTCTAGTTGTAGAGATACTCCACCAGGCGCTCGGTTTCCCCTGCGGTCTCTGGTAGTGGGAAGAACATCGGCCAACAACGATCCCTTGCCAGCATTACCAAGCATGACGACCAGACTCGGGCTCTTGCTAGCGGGCTTGTCGAGGCTCGTGACTATATCGTTCAAAGTGCTAGCACAGCGCAACGAGAGCTTCTTCTCGGCGTGGATAGATAGCCAGGACCCATGCTTGCAGCTCTTCATAGTTGCTAGACCACGTGGGCCAAGCAAAAAAACGTTACAGAGAGGGTGATTACTCGGCAAATTTGAGACTCGGCAGGTCATGGTAGGAGTAATGCATTATATACTGCCACGAGGATCGAGATCACAGCGGAGATGATGAGCGTCATGACTGAGGGGATGGAGACGCTGACTTGCTTACTGTAAACGATTATGATCCACAAGCAGATTACAGTCCCGATGTTTGCTCAAGGCTATGTATATGAAGAAAGGGTATGCTAGTTCTGATCCCCGTGCTCGTGAGCAGATGATTTTGTTCTTATGCCAAGTTCTTGAGGCTCACTGATGATGGCACATGAAAGGTGCTACTGTCCGTCCCTGTACAGCGAGAAACCCGGTGGGCCGAGAACAGCAGATAAGCAAAACGCCGTGCTGCGAAACTTACTATCTTTCATTACCACTGGTCATTCTCGGTCGAGCGGATTTCCCATTGTAGAGGGACGGACATTAACATTTGCCAGTCAGATCTACAGATTCGCATCACGACCACATGCTAGGTCCCACTAGCCAACATCGGTCTGCTGAGTTATTCGCCGCGTAAGCAGGGATATCGCAACTCAAAGATCGCTGACGTGCATCGTTGTGTAGTGCAAGTAACAGAACGGCGCAACTGCACTGACGAATATCCATCGCTGTGCGGCGTAGATACTTGTATACCGCAACTCGTCGACCAGCCTGCGAGAAGGACGGACTTTCTCGTGATTCTCGCGAGTCGATTGATTGGTCACGGCAAACTAGGATTTGTGCTAACGTCCGTCCCCGCGTAGTGGGACACCCTGTGTGCCGGGACCGGCCGATCAACTTGCAGCTTTTGGACGAAAGTCTGTGATTTAAGTGAGCTGATTGGCCGGTTCCGGTATGCAGGGTGTCCCGTCACGCAGCGACGGACGTTACATAGGGATGAACATCATCATATTTAACTGACTGAAATCCCCCTCTGTGTAGCGCAAAACTCTATACGCCGGAAGCAGCCGATGAGAGAGCAGGACGAGCATCCTTCCCGACACGATTGTCTATCTCATTGGCTGTTCCCGGCACACAGGGTTTTCCGCTACACAAAGAGGGACTTTATAACCAATTTCTGCTTGAACTGATCAATCGAACAAAAGTAGATACCAAAACACCTTCACATACATATCCAAACTCAGACTATATGCCGTGCATGGACTGAAGCTATAGTCCTGCTTTGGCAAGCCTCTTTGAGATGTCAGCAAGAATCGGTTCGAGCATCTGCTGCATATTGTCCAACATTCGGTCGTCTCGATCCTTCTGCTTCTTGTCGTCATCTGTGTCCTTCCTTGCTTTGTTTGCCTTCTTTGCTCTTGCCGGCTTCTCTTCTATTTTTCTTGCGACATCGAAACCGTGATCGGCTTGCGCCTTCTTGGCAAACTGGGATTTCCTCAAGAGCTTGGCCAGAAGTTGCAGGTCCTCTTTCTTCGTGCGAACGTGTGCTTTGAATGTACTATAGCTACATATGATGGGGCCCGAATATTTTTCTCCGTCCGTTTTTCGGAGGTCATCAAGAAGGTCTTTGAGCTTCTTTTCCTCGTCCTTGTTTTTGCTCTCGATTTCAAGAAGGACGTATATGTGTGCCATATGATTGTCCTTCGAATGCCATTTTGCTGCACAACCTACTATCTTAACCATCGATGTATCCAATTTACGGTCGCGTTTGTGTCTCTCAAGGAAATCTTTGTCTGCCATTGGTCCGAGGCTTGTCGTGTTACTGTTTGGGGATAGGCAGTGGTCAGGGCAATGTTCTAGCACTTCAATCTCAAATGCCCCATCATCTCTTTCCACGAACCCACGAAGGTCATCCCCGTATTGACGCCCATAGACGACTGTGCCGCCCTCTCGCGGCCCGGGCGTTCGGCCGCTTCTATTGGTCGCATCAGGAGACCCTGACCTATTCCGATTCTGAAAGCGTGTACTATGGATGTCTGACGTATTGCGGAGTCTTGGATAATCAGGGTCAGGAGTTTCTCGACTTTTGACTGGTCTTTCGTAGTCCTCACTCGCTGATCTGGCTTTGTTTTGCTCTTTACCTTTGTTCTCGTCGCTGATGAATATACTGTCAGTCTTTGATGCACTCACAGCACTGTATGCGTTATTTCCAGCTTTCCTCATCGCGTGCATATTCTTGCTGCCGTCTTCCAGAAGATCATCCACAGTGCCCTTATCATCTCCCAGCGCTTTGATCAACTTGGACTTTGTCAGCCACCTCACTGGCCTGTCTTCGTCTTCCACGCTGAATATGATGATCGTATAGGAACCGAATGATATGTATCCCATGTATTCGATTCCGGCGTACTTGTGTTTCTCGACGTATTTTAAGTCCTTATCTGGGCTGAAGGAGGGAAGGTTTGAGTAACCCATATCCCGAATGCTGTGGTGTAGATCATTGCTCTTCAACACATCATACAAATCATCGTCGAGATATCGAACCAAGAACCAAGAGTTCCACTTGGCCAGAACCGTGTAGGGGCAGCTATCGGAGCTTTGTTCCATAGCTGTTTCTGACATGTTTGTGGCAAACTACAAGACTGAAGCCGCTCAAGGTGAATCGTCTAGCTGGACTATCTGTGATCTCTTACTGAGCATGTCGCACTACTTATATTACCACAATGTGAACGTTGGATGGACAGAAGTGTCAGTATCGGATGCGTAGCAGATAAGCTGGATCATCATGAAACAATGTTCTATCGATTGATCTCAGTTACTTTGCGTGAGCGACTTTGTCAGCAAGGTATCCAGAAGTTCCATGTGTCTTAGGCATTCCTCGTTCTACATCATCATTTGCTTGCAAATTCTGCTCTCAGCATGCTGTCCAGCTTTCTTTCCACACAATCTATCGTCTCGACCGGTAAGCGTTCGCTTGGAATGTCTTGGATTCTGTAAGTCTTTGACGTTGATGTGTCGAAGAATACTATTGTGTTCCAGCATAAAGTCATGCTTACAAGACCTAGCACTCTTCAGTCAAGACTCCCATCAGACGAGACGTACTTGGTATTGGACGAAAGATGAATTACCTGCAGGAACAGGGAACTGCTACTGTAGTGCATGAGAGTGTACACTCCCGTGCACTTGCAGCTTTCGCTTTGCACACACGGCTCACTTGTCATTGCGCACGGAACATCGATCCGTCCAGTATGTACTTGCTCTAAAAAGGCTCAGTCTCTGTAGATATCTCAATTCCACTGATATGAGTATTGAGCAGAAGATTGGTTTACAGCGAGGCTCATAGAAGCTAACACTATTTAGGCAAGGTCACCGCAAAACGAGAAAGTCTGAGCATAGAACCAAAAGTCACCTGCTTACAGAACCCAGGAGCTGCAAGTACATGAGAGTGTAGTCTACATTTTAGTCATAAAAAACAAGTTTGACGTCAAGCACCAGGTTGATCGCATCACCAACCCTGTGTAAGCGGCTTACTGTCAGATGTCTTTATGGCAAGTGAGTAAGCCTAAGAGTAAACATGTCGTTAAGTGAACTCGATACTGACCCACAGTGTCGACTTTGGCAGGCAGCCTCGTATAAAACAGGCTCCCCGGCTCGAATACGAACATTTCAGTATTGACAGCCTCCTCATCTAGTCATTCTGGCCTCGGGATCATCATCATATCACTTTGCAAATCACTATCATCGCAGACACGAGTCCAGAAAATGGAGCAGGTCGATGAATACAAAGAAGCGATCGAAGAGATGCTTGACTCGCTCAAAACCGCTCAAGCTAATTTGCTGCACTCTATCTCCAAAGAACAAAGCGAAGATGGTTTATATTTGACCATGATGACGGCTGAACAAAAGCAACCTGTTCAAAGACAGATACAATCACTATCGATTCCTTTCCAGCACAAAGCTCTCAAGCAGACGGGATGTGGCACCAAAGATATCCGAGAATACGCATCAACTCTGCCACCGATAACGGAGGCTCTGATGCTACGAACCATGCTGAAAGGATTGAACAAGAAGGACCGGAAAGCCGCACTTCAAGAATATGATAGCACGGAGGAAAGGGAGCGAGTTGGCTTGGTCTTGGAATTGTTGAAGCAAATCAAGAATTCCAAGAAGAACCAGACGATTAGTCAGACTGTCTCGGAAAGCAGCAAGGCATCTCCGGCTCACAAACGCTCTGTAACAAAGCCTATCAATACGGAACCCCGTGGCATAAACCAGGACGTACGCAATGATTCAAAGGAGAAAGGCCGTCAAGATGCTGGTGGAGTCAGCCGGAGCAACAAAATCAGCAATTTCAAGAAGAGCAAAGAAAAAGAAAAGGAAAACGACACCATAAACAACCAGAACAGCAGCCAGAACAGCAACCAGAAAAGCGACCGGAACGGCAACAAGAACAGCAAAGAGAGTCTCGCTGATAAGTCCGACGATAGCGTCTCTGATGACAGCACCGACGACAGCAACTCCGACGACGGCGCCGACAGCATTTCCGATGACAGCGCTGATGGGAGCGTCTCCGATGACAGCGCCGACGATGACATCTCCGACAACAGCATCTCTGAAGAAGACTAGCCACAGCAAACATGACAGCAATGTGGATTACAAGCGTTTGTGCTAGAACGGAACAAAACGCTGAACACAGTTGCGCAGATCGTCTGCGTTAGTAGAAAGCATATCTCACCAAAGACTTAATATATACATAGAATATCGTGAAGCGGTAGTATTCTGTCAAGTAGCCATCTCAAATGGCAGGTATACATCTTGTTTCAGGGTCCATTCTTTTTATGATGCAAGGGTATGCCTGTTACGATATCATGTTTTCAAAGACTTCATGCCATTACTTTTGGACCGTAAACAGTAAAGTTCCTCTCTATGTGCCGAAAAACCTGTGTGTCAGAGACAAACAATGAGAGGGCATAGGTAACATCCATCCCTGCGTGCCGGGACCGGCCAGTCAGCTCACTTGAATCCCAGAATTCAGCCCATAATCTGCAAGTGGATTGGCTAATTCCGTTATGCAGGGACAGACGTTACCTTGCCCGGTATGGTGGTGTATCTTATTGGCTGCTTCCGGCACACAAGATCTTCCGGCACAGAGGGAGGCACTTTAGGCACACGGATTCGAGCTTCAGATACCGCAATCTCAATGTAGAGGGTATCAAAAGCCACATCGCTAGCTTAGAAGATGACATGTTCATTCTGTGCTTAGTAGGAGAGGGCGTTATCCATGACTTGCGAGGATGTAGGCCAAGCCTGTAAATGTTTCTTAGTAATCGGTCATTCAATCCAGTAAGCATCAGGTATCGGATGCTCGAGGATATTATGCTGATCCTCAGCGCTATCAAATGCTTACTTCAGCTAACGCTATCTACGTAATACTTCCATTCTGCGCGAGGCTCATCCTAGGATTCAAGAGTGATTGCCTACAGCAGCATGATGTCATCAGATTGAGATACTACAGCACCAGATGTGCCAGCTCTGCTAGGACTCATAGGTGGAGAGGATTTTGTGACTGTTTCCAGTGCAATCGGTGTTGCTGTCGAGAATAGCCTTTCAAGCCATGCAAACCTTCTCGTGTTGATATTTATTGCCTCATTACCGCAGTGCCTCCAATCTACCCATCGCTATGAGTTCGCATGGGATGTCAGATTCCTGTTTCAAAGGTTTCCAATGCGACGATCATCACACGGACGAGGTTCAATTAGACCCGGTGCGTCTCGAATCATGCCCGGTGCATGATAGACTTATCTATGCGTCAAGACAAAAGCCACTGACTGCCACGATAGACCTCTCCAAGCGACATCGCCATCGTCGGTCTATCATGTCGCACGGCCGGGGGAATCGACAATCCGGACACGCTCTGGGACTTTCTGTTGCAAAAGAAACATGCGTCCGGCGAGATTCCGCCAAACCGATGGGAGCCTTGGCGACGGCGGAGTGCGCATGACGCGCAGATTGTCGGCAGCATCACGCGCAAGGGATACTTCCTCAACGACGTCGAAGGCTTCGATGCGGCCTTCTTCGGCATCTCACATAAAGAAGCCGAGCACATGGATCCTCACCAAAGGCTAGGCCTCGAGCTCGCGTACGAAGCGTTGCAGAATGCAGGCATCCAGACGGACAGGCTCGCTGGCAGCGATACTGCCGTGTATATAGGCGTCGACTCGGACGACTATTCACGTACGGTCATGGATGACTTGCCGGCCATAGAGGCTTGGAGCGGTATCGG